AATTTGGGGTGTCCCTGCAGGGTCCCCAGTGATAATTTGGGGTGTCCCTGCAGGGTCCCCAGTGATAATTTGGGGTGTCCCTGCAGGGTCCCCAGTGATAATTTGGGGTGTCCCTGCAGGACCAGGAGCTGGATATCCACGATGCTGGTGGTGCCCAAACTCCTCAGACGGAGCAGGAATAAAGCAGAAGAACCCAGGGAGAGCACAGAGGCGGAGGATGGGATGTCCAAAGCTCCGTGGGACCCCCAGAACCCCCCCAGGAGCACTCACAGGTTTATTATGGGACAGAACACCCACAGCCGGGTCCCAGGGCCTCTTGAGCAGCAGTGACAGCGCCTCAGCCCCCGCTGCTCCCGTCTTGGCCGTGGAGGAGAGCAGCATCCTATCGATCAACGCAGGAATCTGCGGGCAAAACCCAGGAAAGAGTGAAAAAAACACCCCCAAAACCACTGGAGAACAACCCCAAACCCCTGGAAAAACTTCCATCACCTTTCCTTTCAGGGTCTGCAGGGCGTCCAGGTAAGCAGCCAGCACGGGCAGGCTGAGGGTCTCCACCAGCGTGGTGTGGAGCCACTGGATGAGTTTGGTGTCCCAGTTGACGCTGGCCAGGGCCTGGCGCACGCGGCGGGCGCATTTATCCACCGCGATCCTCCGCAGCACCGGCTCGTTGCAGGCCTGGAACGGGGAATTCCCAAAGTTCTGGGGGATTCCCCAAGTTCAGGGGGATTCCCAAAGTTCTGGGGGATTCCCAAAGTTCTGGGGAATTCCCAAAGTTTAAGGGGATTCCCAAAGTTCAGGGGGATTCCCAAAGTTCAGGGGGATTCCCAAAGTTCAGGGGGATTCCCGAAGTTCAGGGGGATTCCCGAAGTTCTGGGGGATTCCCAAAGTTCGGGGGGATTCCCAGAGTTCAGGGGGATTCCCAAAGTTTAAGGGGATTCCCAAAGTTCAAGGGAATTCCCAAAGTTCGGGGGAATTCCCCAAGTTCGGGGGAATTCCTGAAGTTCTGGGGGATTCCCGAAGTTGAAGTTCAGAGGAATTCCCGAAGTTCAGGTGAATTCCCAAAGTTCTGGGGGATTCCTGAAGTTCAGGGGGATTCCCAAAGTTCTGGGGAATTCCCAAAGTTCAGGGGGATTCCCAAAGTTCTGGGGAATTCCCAAAGTTCAGGGGGATTCCCAAAGTTCAGGGGGATTCCCAGAGTTCAGGGGGATTCCCAGAGTTCAGGGGGATTCCCAGAGTTCAGGGGGATTCCCAAAGTTCAGGGGGATTCCCAAAGTTCTGGGGGATTCCCGAAGTTCAGGGGAATGGGGCTGGGACAGGGGGGTTTGGGGTGGGTTTTGGGGTTTTGGGAAAGGTTCAACCCCCCCCAGAGATAATTTGGGGTGTCCCTGCAGGGTCCCCAGTGATAATTTGGGGTGTCCCTGCAGGGTCCCCAGTGATAATTTGGGGTGTCCCTGCAGGGTCCCCAGAGATAATTTGGGGTGTCCCTGCAGGGTCCCCAGAGATAATTTGGGGTGTCCCTGCAGGGTCCCCAGTGATAATTTGGGGTGTCCCTGCAGGGTCCCCAGTGATAATTTGGGGTGTCCCTGCAGGGTCCCCAGTGAGAATTTGGGGTGTCCCTGCAGGGTCCCCAGGGTGGGAATTTGGGGTGTCCCTGCAGGGTCCCAGGGTGGGAATTTGGGGTGTTCCTGCAGGCCCAGCGGTTGTACTGATGATCCACCCAGGACACTCCGTGATCCCACAAAACCCACGGCTCCCAGAAGCCCAAAGAACACCCGGAGGCCACAATTCCCACCCGGAATTCCGAAGGGTCCCAGCCCCTCTCACCCCCTCGTTGGCCAGCCGGGCCAGCCGGTCCGACTGCAGAGCTTTGTGGATCTTGTTGAACAGCTTGTTCTGGGCCATGCTCCAGCCCGTCCTGGGGGACACAGGGACACACGGACACAGGGACACAGGGTCACAGGGACACACGGACACAGGGACACACGGACACACGGACACACGGACACACGGACACAGGGACACAGGGACACACGGACACACGGACACACGGACACAGGGACACAGGGACACACGGACACACGGACACAGGGACACACGGACACACGGACACA